GTCTTTTCATCGATACACACACTGCTCTCCAAATGGATACCAGCCGAGGAGCGTGGCTCACTTGGCACCTTTTGCTATACCGGTCTGGCTTTTGGTAGCGTGCTAATGATGTTGGTTAGCGGTTGGATTGCCTCTTCCACCTTCGGTTGGCCGGGCATATTCTATTTCACTGGCTTATTGAGCTTAATTTGGGGTTTCGTTTGGTACTTTGTGGGYGCTAGCACACCAAGCGAATGCAAATCGATGGCTAAAGAGGAGCGTTTGTATATTGAAGCCGCAATGGTGACAACGCCTAAGCCGAAACYTGAGCATGCAGCCATGAAGACACCATGGTTGAAGATACTCACATCTGTGCCTTTCTGGATGCTATTGTTGGCACAGAGCACCTACGCTTTTGGCTATTGGACATTGCTAACACAAATCCCTTCATATATGAAAAGCATACTGGGACAGGATATCAAGAGCAGTGCACTCATGTCCTCAGCACCATATCTGGCTAATATGTTTTTGACTTTTGTATTTTGTGTTTTAGCCGACTTTTTAATGAAACGTGGCTACACTAGTGTTAATGTCAGTCGTAAGTTATTCAACACTATCGGTTTTTGGGTGCCCGTAGTTCCGATCATACTGCTCGGCTATATGCGCGCCGATCAGAGTGAGTTGGCGCTGGTGTTGCTGGTGATCGCTGTTGGTGTGAATACAGCCGGCTCTTTGGGTTTTCTCACCAATCATATTGATTTATCACCCAATTTTGCTGGTGTCCTTATGGGCATWGCAAAYTGTGCGGCAAATGTTATGAGCTTATCGGCCCCACTGACGGTGGGCTTCATTGTCACAGATGCGGTTCGTAAGCTTATAATTCTGTAATCTGTTAGCTCGCCAATTTAATTTTTTATAAAACACCTTTTAATTACAGAAAAATGTGCAACAGTGGCGCATTGTCTTTTACATTGCCGGTGGCATGTACTTCGTTGGCAATTTACTGTTCATCTTGTTTGGTCAGACGAAAATCCAGCCCTGGAACTATCCTAGAACTGAGCGGGACGAGCGCGATCACATCCGGTTTGAAACTATCAAAATGGAGACCGAAAAGATTTGAGAGGTCTACGCCGTTATGAAGATGTAGATTGCAGTATTATTAACACTTAAATTGCTYTGTTGGCGTCCTTTGCGGTCTTCAGCAGCCAATTTTAAAAATTAATTTAATTTAACAAAGTAGTATAAATCGTGTTTATGTTTAGTGAAAAGAAAACTTCTGTTATAACTGTTAGTGCCTATATTTTCACTTGCCTATCTGGAGATAAAAAATAAATAAATAGCGCCAAGACGGCAATTTTCTAATTGTCCATTGACTAAATACGAAAAAAACTTTTTCGACTACCAATAGATCATGAGACCCTTACAAATCGACRAAGTCTTCTGAGTCCATTATAAATATATAAAGGTGGCTACGGTCCGATTCGGAAATATCGCCTGGTGCGCTGAAGGTAAGACTGCAGAGATGTTTATCATAAGTCTTGCAAATGCGGGTTAGTGGAGCAGAAATTACTTGGGTGTTTCCATCACACCATCCTCCATAATCTCCTGCGATCTAGTCTAGGTTAAAAGAATTTTTCAGTCTAACAGGCGCGGGTCGTTGAAAAGTTTCTCCTAGCTTCAACCCATACGTGAAAAAGCTSACTGTCGCTCATCTCCAGCGATTCCTTCCCATTCACATATCCATCGATGGTRAATAAAAAGTCACCACCAGTAGCTACTGTGGTTTAAGGAAAGCATTTGAAGGAGAAGAGTTTCAGCGCGACTTTGATCGGCCCCGTTCATATGCCCAGCTCCCCTGACCCTTAACGCGCTCTTAGCAGGAATATACCTAACGGCTATGTGCACGGATGTGTAAAATGGAATTGAGTGATTCTGTTGATGTAGTGTGCATTGCATCAGACTTATGCAAAATTTCAGGTCGATATCTCAAAAAACTGCAGAAAAACATGGTTTTAAATTCTAAATATGACACACATTTTGCTTTCATCAAGATTTGGAACTAGGCAAAGAATTTCCATTATAATTTTAGAAACTATTTTGTACAAAAATTTATATAAACATTATTTTTAACGAAACTACTATGGTCGCTACAGTTTGACATTTGTCTAACGGGTTTAAAGAAGTCTTAAGTGACAAAATTGCTACTAAGGCAACCAACTAGGCCAAACCACAAACGTTGCCTTGTTTTTGGCCCAGAATCTCTTGAATTGTTGCTTATTTTGAGAACTCCAAGAAATTTAAACTTTTGTTCATCAGAAGATAGATTCCTTAATATAATAAAAAAACATTTATTTCTCTCAAAGGTATGGAAGCGTATAACGACGAATATGGTGAACGTTTACGCAATGATATTACTAGGTATGAACACTAACAACTAAAAGTAGACAATATTTTTTAATGCTCTACTGGAGCTATGTATAGATCAAGTAGTCTACTACGACTAAGATTCGCTCGTGAATTAATCAAAAATCTGCTGAAATCATCATTTAAATTGATGSAAA